CTCGAAATGAGGCGCTACCGCAACAAAACATCATTTTCGTGATTAGCATGTCAGACAACCCCTCTAGAAAGTTATAGCGAGCTTTAAGATTTTGACCCCACACCATACACCCACCGTAACTCAACAAAATAACGCTACCAGGCGAAACCAATATGATATTCGCAATCCGCATGTCAAATAACTCTCTAGACGAAGTTTCAGCAAAATCCGAAATTTTTGATTTTTGGGGTCGTTATACTGGAATAGTACCGAAATTAGTTATCTAAGAATATAAAGGAATGGAAAGTGCTGCCACCTGTGTTATCATACTCCTGTACTGCTCATCTAACATATCACCATGAAGTAACTGAAACGGTCGACATTTCTTTTTCCACCACTTCATCCATCTAAAATCAGATTTGCGATGATTTCAATATAAGGCGAGGGTGGGAGGATACTTGGAGAAATCTTCGCCCATTGCCGCTCCATATTTAGCAGGCAGATCATTGATTTCAATTCCAACAGCCCGTTTTACCTGATAAGTGAGCAAAATATAGTACGACGTCAACATTTCACTGAACATAGTGAAACCAACCCGAGTCCCTCCAGCCACATACATCACTAGCTGTCCTACCCCACAACCTAAATCAAGAAAGACATCCGATTCGCGAAATCCTATCTGGTCAATGATTGATTGCATCTGCTCATACGATGTCTCGCCGTAAACCTAAAAGGACTTGTGAGAAAATGGTCTCTTGCAAAAATATAAGATTTACTCACCCCACTACTAAAAGGGGCATAATGGTTGTTGAGCAACTGCGGATTTGAAACAGCACTGAGAAGAAATAAATATAGAACGGAAGTGATGCCTATTCGGTGGAATAATTACCGACTGAAGGAAAGACTGCAAATTATTGTTAGTAACTCTACATCAGCTCTGTCTTGACTCCATGATTCAAAGGCCGGATTGGTCTGCCCTTTCCACTAAAACGAAAACAATATCTAACACGTAGATAGTAAAGCAGAGAACATACAAGTTTAGCATAAGGAGCTGCCACTTTATTGAAGTCATCTATAACACTTCTCACTTCCTCAAGATTTGTTTTGTCCACGTTATTGAAAGTAGATGCGCCATTGTCCAAATGGGCAAAGATGGTAGGCAGAGCACAAGGAAGGCGTTTTATGCAAAGTCTAAATTGATAACACCAAGATTAATATAAGTAAGGATAAATATACTCATTAGAGATAGTGTGAAGATATAGACAAGCAAAGTAATAAGTACCCGATGACTTCAAACAATATTGACACAAGTTCCGAATTCCTTTGTGGTTCATCAGGTTTCCAGTCGAAGCAAATAGTCTCGCCTCCAAAAATGCTCACCTGGGAGAGTTCATTTCTGATCACTGGCCATCAGCAAAGTGAGAGAAAGCAGCTTACCATTCGTAGCTTACCCTCACTATGAGTAGCGGAGCCGGTGGATGATGTGGACGGTGACCTCCCGATTTCTGCAGAGGCAGACGCAGGCAAAGCCATTCCTGTTAATAGGCTCTACGATTTTTGCCCTTTTCACCTTCGAGCTCACAATCATTGCACTGTTCGGTGATAAAGGACAATTCACCCCCGAGCTGTCTAGTACTGACAGAGAAGGGTAGGCACGGGGAGACGGTCAAGAGGCGCGATTTTTCCGGCTGTCACTAACTCAAAACTCAAGTTTAGTGGTACGCGTTTCTTCAAAAAGCACCAGACAAAATACACTGGGTTCTTAGCTATCTGGAGTTAACACTTGCTGAATTTAATGGCTTCATGTATATCTCGTTCTTGTTCCCACAAATATTCTAAAACGAAGTTCGAATCCGCATTCCTCACTGACATTAAAAAATAAAGAAAGTCGAATTGAACTAAATTCAAAAAGTAAAACAAATAAGAAATTTAAGTTTATGAGAAAATATACTAAAAAATTAAATCAAAAAGTCTAAATTATGTGAAAATTTGCGAATCTCGAGCCCCGCCTTCCAGCCGCCAATTTTGTCAAAACAAAGGATAGTCCTTAATTGCAGGACCTACGAGTACGCCAAGCTGTGGCGGTATCACACGTAAATTTCAAGGCTGATTTTTCTGTAGGTTTTTGGTGAAGGAGGAACCTTCCTTACGACTCAGAGAAAAGGGATGAGTAAAGTCTCACACTTGTGCACCTACAGTGCTTCTAAATTACAGAGTCGTTTGCACCAGCGGC